ATCTGATCCCCATTGTGTTACTGGTTAAAGTAGATGATGATTAACTGAGAAAGATTATTCGGAACTTTTTACCCTTAACATGACTAAGACAAATACTCAGAAACAAGAAACAAATAACAACGAAGACATATTCTGTGGTTGACAAAAATTCATGAAATATTCTATTATTCTATAGGCAACAGTATCAGCAACAAAATGTAGTGTTGAGCTTAAGCAACACATGACATGGTACTGAATTGTTTCAAAATTTAATTGTTACTGGTACATATAAGAAACATCATCTTAGCTGAAGAGTGCAAAAAGAATTTGTCAAAGTCATGGCAGAAAAAGAAATTGGATCAATCCCAAAATTCAAACCACATTTACTTCCAGGAACAGAATAGTTTATAAGAAATGGGAAATAAATTAAATTCTTGTATTATGAATTTGATCGTTATACAAACTTCGTCTTGAAAATTGCCTGGATGGCAGGTTTCTCTGATGACATAGAACATAACAAACCTGTAGACACACTTACCTTCTCGGTGAAAAAGGCAAACATATAAAATCCATCATTCTCTTACCAATATCTACACATAAATGATTCTCTAAATTCTCTTAGTTTGTATATATACTTGATAAGGGAAACATAATAAACTTAAACTTTCAAGTAGATATTATCAGAAAAGTGTAGCCTCTGGCCATCTAGGTGTTTGCGCATAAAAAAGTATCTTTCCTCTGAAATCAATGACTTTGTGCTTCAGGCTATGAACATGAACAGTGACACTGAAGTGATAGGTGTTTTGGGAATTCCCTGATAAACATCTTGCATGTCTTGCAGTAAAACACCTGTCAGGGCTTATAGTGCTTATTGCACCTTACTTAGACATAAATCACACTTCCATCACTAACTCAGACAGTTCATAAACAATCAATTTCATCTAGACAATCATATCAGTGTCATATCAAGGCATATGGCATATTTAGAGTTCCAACTTGAGAGTATAGTATTTAAACATTAAACAATTATTGTGTTCATACATCCTTATTATTTACGAGACAATTCTCTGCTTTTATGCCCCGTAATGTGTGGTTTGGGCATACCTTTTCTCTTGTTGATCCTTCTAATGTTGATAAGGTAAGCCTGAGGTTTCAGATCCAGGGGATAATGTTTCAAATTCTTTTAGGAATGAACCCAATAAACAATTTTATAAACACTGCAGGAAACAAACTATGAATAATGTGACCAAGCCTTCGGTACTATAGAATATAACTATTGTCTTCAATGATAACAACTGTCTTACAACTGGTACTCATCTGTTTTTATGAAAAAATGATGAGCATGGATAGAAATGAATGTATCCTTTCCTCAAGTATATGCTTAAAGAGACTGTAAAAACACCTTGTTTTGAATAGTTTCATTACTTTTCAAATTTTATTCAATAGGAATCAAGTTCAAACTCAAGGCAATCCTGCTTGCTTGAGATACAGCACCACCCAAGGGTTATTAATTTATTAATACCTTTTGCAATATGGTAATGATGACAATAAAGGTATTATTGTAGTATTCATGGAGGATTTGGGCTACATATTTGAATCTAAGGACCCATTAAATCTTGCATTCACTACTATGACCAGGCACCAATGTATTAGTGATATAACTAATAATCTTCTAAGTTTATCCCTTCATTAATCAAATACAAACAATAACATGGAAAATATGGACAAATAACCTTTAAAGTATATCAATAATATTGGTTAAGTTGTTTTGTGTGTGCATTTCTATGTATTCAAATCAATTTTGTGAAAAAATTTAGGTGAAATATTATGCTGTCCACGGGAAATGCCAAGGCCCTAAAGAAATCAGACCATTGCAATTTAATCTAAACTTACCAGCACCAAATATGCAATCAATTGAAAACCAGTCAAGTGAATCTCAAGATTTAGCACCTTCTCAATAGCTGCTCAGTGAGGTGTGATGTGCTATAAACATAACCTGGAGCTAATTGGGCTACCTGTGCCAAAAATTCACACCTTCCACAAATAACAATGCATTGTGTAAGTCTGGCCCATGAATAAGGCAAATTAATGGTCAGCCATGACAAATATGCTTTTAGAAATATCTCGCCAGTTTAACTACAGCTGAAATTAGGAACTAAATATGCTCATTCTTGATACATTGGAAAAAAAACCAAGATTGTTGAATTGATAAATTTTGTTTTAAATGAACGTATGTTAAGAGTTATAGATATACATTTTTTCAAGTCCATATAAGTAGCATTTTCAGATACTCTGATGATACTGTAGCATAATCCCTGTATGTCCTTCATATTCTTGAAATATACAAACTTGAACAATCACAAGGATAATGAACAAGTGCACTGCCAAGCTAAAAAATAAATGGTGCACTAAGAGCAAGAGATGTACCCAAGATAATTTTAAGTTTACACAGTGCAACAAGTACTGACATTCTGAACTAATAATTCCATTTAAAAGAAAAAAACTATTGATTTCTAGGCTAAACAATTACTGCCTGAGCTATTGAAAGCGCTAGATCAAATTCTACAGCTGGCCAAGACAGCTGGTGCAGGCTCAGAACTGGTTCAGCTTTTGTTACTGACTGACATAAAAAAAGAGAGGGCTAAGGCATTCACCCTTCCACACACCACCTGGACATACAAATTTCAGCTGATGCTGACAAAAAATGTATCAGATTGGAAATGACAGTTCACAGGAAAAATGAAGAATATCATGTATTAAATTTAAAAATACTAGTGTCCTATATTTTGAATACTAAACTCTTAATGACCTTGTTCTTAAAAAAGGACAATAAATTTCATTCCGTTACAGCTTTCAAAGGTGAGCAGCATTGTCAACTGAAGAGATGGTAAAATCTAATCAGTATTTTATGACAATGAATTCTTTTAATATGTATTATGACACCTAACATTTATGTTTTTTAACAAAAGATTCGAAACTATTTGAGAGCAATACATCAATAATTTATGAAGAAATTGGTATTAGAGTTTACATAAAAGAATGACATAAATTTGACATGTATTTCTTTTGAGCATTTGAAAAGATACCTACAATGGCAGCTCATTATATTCTGTATGGCAGACATTTATTTGAACACTCCCAACAAGGGTACAATTAAAGTCTATAGATGCTCATCACGACGTAATTACAGCCTACCAAATTGTTAAAAGATAAATGCCTTAAAGAGTAAATTGAGAGATGATACCATTCTAAAATCATTAGGAAACTGTTCACCATCATAATAACTACTTAGGAATAAAAGGAATAAGTGTTTTTTCTGTGCAACATCAATTTCACAATAGAAGATTAACAAATTGTATCATGTATTTTTGATAGCCATAAAATTCTCCACATTGTAGGTGTACTAAGTAGTTCATGCTGTGATGCAACAGGGTAACACTTCTTTAATTGCTTAATTGCACAACATCAGTTCCACTCAAAAGAGTGTGTGACATAAATGTAATGGCATATATCATTTAAAATATATTAGGTATACATCTTTCCACACTCTTATTTTCTAGAATATTTATTTCAAAAGAAAATTGGTAATACTAATATATTCAGGATTTTTTACTGTTTCAGTTTTTCATCAAATATTATGTCAAGGAAGATGACATTTTCATTAGCAGGGAACTATTTCTGCATACTTTACTCTCTTTGCCATTTGTAATCAATTTCATAGATAACAAAATAAATCAGCACAACCAACCTAAACACAAGAGAAAACAATCAAAATGTGAGATCAAAGGGTTTTGCTGCAGTAGCAATTGTACAGGTAATTATCATTAGACAAACAGAGGAACCAATCATCTGGGTAGCAAAAGCTTAATTAACAACTTGATTACTTAACAAACTATCAGGAGACAAAAAGAAAACACTGAGACTAATCGGTTGAGTTTCAGGTGAAAAAACAATAGCATTGTTGACTGACTGCAATGCGAACTTATTTGATGTGTTAAACACACATAATTCTGATAAGGATTGTGTTATTGTACTCTCACTTGTGGGCTAATTAGCCACTGAGAGGTTGTATTACTTTCAAGTGAATAATTAATCGAGGAAAAACATGCCTCATTGTTATTCTTAATTGCAATACATTATATACTCTTATTTCAGTTATGTTTATTGCATGACAATAACGACAATAAAATCCCTCAAAATAATGCAAAATATTTAAACAAGACAATATATTGCATCTAATCATTGAAATGACTTGTAGTAATGGCAACACTTCATTTACACTTATATTATATATTATAAGAAGAATAGGACCCTTCAAACTTAATTTGCGCCCATGATGGCCTACTTGGTCCATGAACAACTAAACAATCCTTGCCAACACTAGATGTCAATACACCTGTTACAAGCAATCATTGTAAATTACACCCAAAAGTGTGTTATTTACATTTGTTGCAATCATATTTCATTGTTATGTTTTCAAGTAGTTTTGTTGAGGCTTAGTACCCCATAGACAATAAAGACACTTATGAAAGATGTTTCATAGAGGAAAATATGTAAGGTTTGATTGATAGGTCAAGGTAGAGTGACCACACCTGTCACAATTGCAAGTGACCACAAGCTGAGACAAGAGTGACCAGAGTCCAGTCTGTCATAGACTTGTTAGCAGGTCACAGAGGCCAGTGTGGTGGCCATCTGCTCTGCAGGATGGTTTGACCAATGACTGGCATCCACACATGGCACACACTTGTCAGCACTTTGGTTCTAATGTAGAGACACCTGATACCACCAACAGTGCTGCATCACATTTACATGCAAATCAGATTAATTATGTACATAGATAAAGCATCAGGTAATTGCCAACCTCAGTAATTATTTGCAAGGCAAGCTTAAGGAAGTGGGTTTTATCTTTTTCTCAAACAAAGATAACACAATGAAATTTTAGCTGCTGTAGGTTAAGTGTTGTCTGGAATGAGATATGTGCAATGGTACAGATTTATTTAATAAACCAAAGTATTTCTCACCTCATTTCAAGCGTTGGTGAGTCAATGGGTGATGGAGAATCGAAGAAGCATCCTGAAAATAATGGAGTCCTTATTCATAAGAAAGAATAATATTCAAAATCAAAGTAACATGAATATATTCCACTTAAAAATAACTGAAAACAGTATTAATGATGAATATCCATATATTTACAAGAACCCTGCAAACACTTCATCACCCCATCGATTTGGGTAATAATAATCTAAATCTGACACATTATCACTATAGTTCCTCAAGAATTGATTCCAAAATACAAAGACAAAAAGAATGCTTGAACTTTGAGACTGCTGAGGGGAGAGCAACTGGTCAGATATGGTATTAATCCTTGATAAAATATATCTCCCTGGTCACAGATTTGTAAAGAGGAATGATACCATGGTATAAGAACAACACAACCGGCAAGTACACAGAAACTTACAAGAGAAATATCAGTTTCATGTGGTCTGATGTGATACCTTCTTTACATGTGTTAGCGGAAACACTGACAAATCCTAACTAGATACCAGACTATATGCTTTTCATGTGTATGTCTCTAATTATCTATTCAGTTTGGTCTTAATTTTATTGCTCCGAATCTCAAACTCCATTTAGTGCCAAGAACTAACTACACTTGTAATCCTAATAAATAACAGAAAACAGAAAGGAGATAATCGCAACAAAAGACTCAAATGAATTGATGCCATAATTAGTCTAATGACCAACAGCCAAATACAATAGACTCGTAAAATAGAAAACAATGGCTCATCAATGAAAGCTTCCTTTTCATAATAGGAGACAAATTTCCTGCTTGAGGATATTCAACTGTTTTAATCTAGCATGTGTGAAATAATGGCAGACACCAAAATCCCGAGACATATGGATTAGTCTACCCGGTTTACAACCAGATAATCCCATTCAAACTCGAGTAAACATAAACAAAACTTAGTAAAACAAAGACTCTTCATTGACATTAAACTGTCTGCCCTTTTAAAGACAAGTAGGGCCACCATGGAGACATGGTCAACAGACAGGAAAATAAAAACAATAAAAGGTGTCATGACTTTTATAGATGGGACTCCTTAATGTCAATTTTGCCAGTTAATGTTTATTTTTTGGCGTACCACCATAGACATTAAGGAGTCTGCTCAGTCACTGAATACAAAACTGCTAAGTCTAAACAGGTGGCTGTCCTTTTTATCATCAAAACAGATTGGCTTAGAAACTCTTAACAACTACATCTGGAAATTCTTAATCCCAAGGGCATACTGGTATACACAACATATATTCAATACATTTCAGTTATGATGATTTTCATTCATTGTTGATATGTGAATATATCTAGCTTTCTTGTGATCTGAACACGTAGTGTATTACATATGGGTCAGATCTGCAGGAACAATATTGAGACCTTTAATGCAGCCTAAAGAGTGCAAGACCTGTGGTAAGAGATAACAGTGTAGTAAGCTATTCTGCAAATCAGAATAAATCCGTCCTAAATACTCAACATGGCCATAGTAAAATGATTTTGGCTTAAAGCATATGGTTATAGAATTTCACCAAGTCATGTATCACCTTCAATTCCCATATCCAAACATCTATTTTAATTTACATGTCATAAATATGAAATAAGATAAAAAAATATATAAAATAATACCTGCAACAATTTTATATCTAAAATCCCCAACACTGAAAGAAAAGGTAACCAAGATGAAATAAAAATCAATATACCTGACATTAACTTCTGAGATATTTAATAATTTACAAATGAAGTGATGCTTACTAGAACAACCATATTTATGAAATGACTAGTTGATCAAAAAAGTTCAAAGAGTGACCTCAGCCAGGAACCCGTTAAGGACATATTTAAAATGAGACATTACTTTCTTAATGATACAATTTTAATAAAACATAACCATAAAGATGCACTTTGCATTATCATATTCTGATATGAATCCAATGATAAAACAGACTTATAAATATACTTCATAAATAATAACAAAGTTGAAACCTTTAAATGCCAAATGTTATGATTCTGTTTATATCATCATGATCATAACTGCTTGTATAAATATTCTAAAAAACGTCATTATTGTAATTTAATGAACAAAATCATAATGACCAAAATATATTAAATAATATACATAGTTAATTAATAATAATTAACATAGTTCATCGAGTTAACACCAAGAAGCTTTTTAATACCTGATTCTGTGGATGACATTCGCTCTGGTGTCACCTTAGTTGACCCTGTTGGGGTGTCAATGCTTGACAGTGACAATCGTCTCTTTGGTGTGCCCCTGGAAAGATTTAGTTTCATGCAACTAATCGAACATATACCATTATATATAACCTACAAAGGGTCATTTGATCCATTCATGTGGATTGATATGTTAACATTCCATCACATTGATGATCATTGATATGATCCCATCATTTTGTTTTCTGCGCACACATATTCGTAAGCAATAGCGAATCTAACATATTATTTAAAAGTATCGAACTATTTTCAAGGGGGAAAAAAATCTAAACTTTTTTTCATTACATACTAATTCATGAGAATGCTGAAATAACACAATAAATGCATTTAATTGCATTTAAGACTTGTTATGAATTGCTTAGCCGTTTCCACCAATGGTAGACAACTCTGAGGGAACAAGTCATAACATGAACATGCAAAAGTGGGAATAAACAGACATACCTTCCAGTTGATAATTCACTCAAATTCATCGCTAGAGTGCTCATGGGTGAACTGACGGTAGTTTCTTTTCCAATATTCATTGTGTTGGTTGTTGCTAGTGTCCTCAAGGGTAGAAAAGGTCTGGATATACGTTCCGATTTCACAAGGCTTGGTCTTGTCTGTTTCAGTTCTCTGTCACACATCGTTCACAAGTTCCGTTTCTGTTCATGAGCTAAATATCAGTCTGTCCGATCTCACAAGATGTCTCTAGGGTAACTGCATTTAAATCCAGGTACCTTGTCCACTTGATGATCCCTTCCGACTGTGTAGGATTTGTATTAACAACAATTTAGATGGGTGGCTGTAAAAACAATGGACGTCACAGCTAAATCCCTGGCTTGGACACAGACAGATTGCAGCCCACTGTTGGTATATTGCAGGGTGGCTGATTAACGAATGGGAGCGGTTCTCGTCTCCTTCAGGGTGTTATCTTAATTCCAAGCCATCTCTGGGTTCCCTTATAACTATCTACAAACTAAACCAGAAAATAATATAAGGTCACCTGGGATATGCCCAGGCAAAGCTACTGCCGCCTGCAAGTTTGAACGCTCAGCAATTTCAGCCAATCAGAAGCGAGTATGCAGTGTTGCTGCAGACGCTTTCTTTGTAAATCTCGGTAGCTAAGAGAATATTTTCCATTTCCGTAGGGTACACAGTGCTTTTTTCGACATTTGAGACCCAAAATGTGTCCCTGATACAAATAACCTCAATTAAAAAAAGTTTGTAAACAACGCAAAACTTATTTTCTTTGTACTATATTCGTAGAAGCATTTGATCAATTAAAGGCACAACCGACCTTCTGCTGATATGAAATGATAAACTCTAACATCTGTGTTGATGCAGGTTATTAAATTATTCACGATTAATAATAGCATATAACCTATATGGGAAGCGAAACAATTGTCAATAATGTACTTAAGACGCACAAATTAAGTATGTAACTTTAACGCTGGAAAAGTATTTGAATACCTACCAGTGTTCGACTTACCAGCAAAATAATAATAATAATCATAATAATATCCAAATTATGGAATGTGGAAGATATGATGTATTCAGAATGTATTTTTCTGAAACCAATTTGTTGCATGTCAGCACGATTTACCGTAGTACAAATGAGTATATAATTTTTAGTTGGTAAACGCCAACATAAAAAAAATGTTTTACTCCGTTTTTAATGTATTGATAACATAATATGATGCTAAAATAGTTAAATAATATTCAGTTGGTGATTTACACATCATTGAATATTTTTGACGAACTCTTAAATAAATGTACAAGTTATTTTTGAGATAAAAAACGGTAGAAACTGTTATTGACAGTCAATTTTGCATTAAAATTCATTGTGTTTTCACTTTTGAAACAGAATACATGTAAATGGTGATTTTATGCTAAAACAACAATTTTATGTGCATTGTAGCATGAATTCTTTCTGTCTGTCCTGGTCGACAGAAGTCTGTTTACATACGCATGTGTTAAGTAGTTGTTTCTATAATTAGAAATACTATCTAAACAATTACTGCGCAAGCGCGGAGACTTGGCGCGAAATCGAACACTACACTTTTGGAGGCTCAGTAGTCAACATCTCATCATCTCGATTTATTTTTTCGATCGCTTAGTTGAGGATATGTCTGATAATCGTAACTTGCGCACAAGGAGATCTCGAACATTGAGAGATGACAGGTAAGTTTTATTTGCCCGTTTTACTAGGAAATGTATGTTTGTGGCATTTCTTTCGAAATATTTTTGATTGACTGTCAGTTCTGGAATTCAGCGGGAAACCACGACCTTTGTTCCATCAACTTGACATTATGCATTACACAGCTTTTTCGAATGATAAGTCGATTTCTCAGGAGAAACAATTGTTATGAGAATTCCTAAACATATATAGATCTTTTATTTTATTTTCCCTATATGTTGGCATTGATAAAACGTTTTTGCTTGTCCCAAATATATTCCACTGTTGGGGATAAATTTGACCTGAAAACCTCATAATGAAGTTCATTCCAATTTCGTAGTCAGTAATCATTGATTTCTACTCTCTATCTGGCTCTTATCATATTCATGTACTTTTTAATCGATTACACTGAACATGCTAAATTAAAATAATAAAATGGCACATTAAATAGTGTTTCAAAACTCCTTTACCAATGTATGATGTTTCGTCGATGTTTATCAATAAGTGAATCATTTTTTCACTTTTCATTCCCACAGGGGAAAGGTTGGTTGCCGATCATGTAACGTAGACTAAAGAATGAAACATGTTTTGGTTTTGTGATTCATGTCAGTTGTGTCAGAATAGTTAACATGGCTTATCAGTTATAAAAATTAATGAAGGGGTCCTGGGGTGTCTTGCTTTTTGTTTCATTAATAGGTACGTAAACTACTGTTGACTTGTAAGATTTCCTTTCGCAAACAACTCTCTTTATTTAGAGGTGAGGTAGATCTAATGCAAGGATGTATCTTGGATTTTAATTGTATCGAGGAAACCTAATTTGGTCCACAATAAAGAACTTCTTATAAGGTTCTAATTATTACTTTCTAGCATGGCAATAATGTCAAACTAACTCACATTTGCAAAGCTCTAACATACTAGATGAAATTCTTGATAACAGAAACTAAGTTAATTCTTTCATTCCAATTTGGGAATATTTACTTATATTTTCTGCAGAACATGATGAATGTAGCTTTGTTTAGCCAGGTAATAGTGCTTGATGTCATGCATATTTCATTTAACATGTTTAATCATTGCTATTTCAGAAGCTCTGAAAGCAGCGAGTATTCAAGCAAGTACAAGGAAGATGCTTTGGGTGCCTTGAGAAGTCCGATACGATCACATGAGGACTCAAGCAGAAAACATTGTAGAAGAGATAGGTGGGTAGAGAGTAGGGCTTGCAATAGAGATCAATAATCGGATTTATCGTCAATGAAAAGAAATATTAAACAATAATCGATGTGAAAATTGTGTTACTGATTATGTTTAAAGTTACCAAAGCAAACTTGTTTTTGTCCACTGCCAAAGACAGAAAGCAACCGATTTTGTTATACCTCATATGTCCACCAAGTAATCCATGCATAAATGTGTTATCACTCGCCAATGACGTGAAATATGTTGTTTTGTTTGGGCTTTTTGTATATTTGCTGAAAGTTACTTCTCCAATATTTATCGAAAATTGATTGATATTTAGTTAAGGATTATCCATCTCCAAGGTCTATATCGGTAGCCAGCGCTAGTAGAGAGCATAGTTATACTTGCATTTCTGGTTAATTTTTTTCACACATTAATTAAGCCAGCGGTAGAAATTGGCATTAGTCCTATAATAGTCCTTGCCAAACTGCCCTATAGTTGAGGTATGATGAAGATTGGACAAAAACAGGTAGTTTCTATCGCTGTAATAACCCAATGCATATTTGGTGTGAATTGTAAACATCTAAGAAAGACAAGTTTTAGACACATCTTAGGTAGGCTATCAAATGAGTGTTATCTTTTCCAGACATGGACGGATTCAGAGACGACAGAAAATGAGCTCTCCATACAAGAGGGAGGTGCCACTGGATTCCATCGAACACTTTCCACCACTTGGATCAGCTCTGTAAGTTGTATTGCTTAATGTTCAGGCCTAAACATTAATGTGTATGTGGGCTACAGTTGAGAAATGTCTATGCATGTTCAACAATATCAGGAAGATTCTCCACAATTCCAACCAGGGCAGCTGCACGAAATGATTACCTAAGTTGTTGCTCAATAATTGGTGAGAATACACCATGCTGTACAGACTCTAAAAGTAAACGGATCAATAAGTGGTAATTTCTTTGAATGGACCATTCAGCCAAGAAAACATGGAACATGGGAATTTACTCAATCCTGCAAAATATTCATCTGGGCATATCAATGAATATTGAATACTCACTGGTCGTAAGAGTGTTGAGGAATAATTTTTGATGAATGCAAGATGTGAGAGGAATATTATGTTTGAAACTGGTCCAAGTGGCTCCTGACAAAATAAGCTATCTAAAATAGCTATATTCCAAAACATGTAACCTGATATGTCAAGGTCTTACAATAAGTCATATGGTACAAGTAAAAAAAAATCACTTGTAAAAAATAAAAATAAATTTCTAACTGTGTTAGTCAACTTTAAAATCAACTGAACATGCCAAGAGACAAGTGTTGGTCCAGAAGAGCCAGAAGGTCTTGGTACAAACTTGCTGCATAGCCCTAACCTTGAAATAACTTATTCGTCAATCAAATTATAAGTATAAAGGTCTGTTGTGTTTTTGGATCTGATTAACCATAGGTACCATATGTCTCCACAAGCCTAGTTCCACTTTACCAACCCTGTGACTTGCCAGACAACCTGTCTCCACAAGCCTAGTTCCACTTTACCAACCCTGTGACATTCCAGACAACCTGTCTCCACAAGCCTAGTTCCACTTTACCAACCCTGTGACATTCCAGACAACCTGTCTCCACAAGCCTAGTTCCACTTTACCAACCCTGTGACATTCCAGACAACCTGTCTCCACAAGCCTAGTTCCACTTTACCAACCCTGTGACATTCCAGACAACCTGTCTCCACAAGCCTAGTTCCACTTTACCAACCCTGTGACATTCCAGACAACCTGTCTCCACAAGCCTAGTTCCACTTTACCAACCCTGTGACATTCCAGACAACCTGTCTCCACAAGCCTAGTTCCACTTCTACCACCCCTGTGACATTCCAGACAACCTGTCTCCACAAGCCTAGTTCCACTTTACCAACCCTGTGACATTCCAGACAACCTGTCTCCACAAGCCTAGTTCCACTTAACCAACCCTGTGACATTCCAGACAACCTGTCTCCACAAGCCTAGTTCCACTTCTACCACCCCTGTGACATTCCAGACAACCTGCTATAAGATGCTGACTTTTAACCCAGGAACTATTTTTCAGTGCGTTATTGTCTATATAGATCATGATAATCATTAATGATGTAACAACCCAATGCCTTTATGTATTTCAGCACGCCAGATCTGTCTTTCAAACTGACAAATGAAACACGAACATCTCGAGGATGGTGTGAGCAGATGGATGAGCTTGAAACCAGAACACGGGTTGAGAGAGAAAACCTTCAACGGTATGTCAGAAGAAATTGTGTGAATGATTTTGTGGCTATGTCAGTGCTGCTAGTTTCTGTTTCATAAACTAAATGGTCTGCTTCTTGAGCCACTAGCCTGAAGCCTGAATTCTGTCCGATCTAGTAAGCTTAGGTAGTAATTGTCTAATGATAACATTAATATCGACAGAAAAAAATGATTATAGTCAATTTACTGCTCAGTAGTTATAAAATGTTTGATTTTTATCATCTTTTCTAACAAAGTAAATGCCACACTGTAGAACAAAATGGGTTAATGTTGTAACTATAACTTGTCAGCATTATCTTTTGCTTAACAAGAAGCAGGGGACCCACATGAATGTAATAATCGTAGCCATCAATATTAGGCTCAGAATAACTGGACTGAGTGGACTGCTAGTTACTGTGCCTCTGGTTAGAAAAGGTCATGGGCGATGCATGCCAACAGGGTAGGGTGCTGGCTTAGTGACTTGAATGCATCACCACAGCCTGATGGGCTTTGCTCATAATATCAATCACTGGTTTGTCTGGTCCAGACTCGGTTATTTACTGTCATCAGAGCTACAGATAGGATGCATATTTGCGTAAAATAACCCAATAATATATTCCAAATAATAATGCAGTTGGCGTGGTCCGAGTTGCTAAGCAGAACATTTTCAAACATGGTGGATTGTTTGCATTGCAATTACATGTCAGCGCCTGCAAGTTTCAATGCAATCCACATGAGACAACATTAATACAGAAGTTCTATCCTGCAGTATACAGGATACTGGCCTACTTGATACATTGATTTACACTTGAAAGAGGCCTTCTTCTAAAACAAAAACATTATTTCATTTTTTGAAATCTTGATATGTTTACTCGTTTTGGGAAATCGACAATAGAGTGATGAATAGATGAGTGAAAAAATATTGGTGACCCAATGAAAAATGCTGTAACCCAATTAAAATAGAAACCTGTGAGTAAGAACTCAATTGCTCAAAGAGTTATCTGGAGCTCAGTGTCATATAGCTGAGATTGAGGTCCTCAAGGCTGGTCTTGTCCTTCTATAAAGATGTGTAGGCTACATATATCTCTGAACTGTTTAAGCTGTATCGCACGTAATAGTTGCTTATGATTGTTTGATTTGTAGATGATTGTTGACTTTTATCACTTTGTATTCCTTTCAAATTACAATTGTTTTGTATTTTTTCAGTTTCAGACGAAAACTGGATATGAACGCTGATAAAGATAGGAAGCGGTAAGATGATATCCTGGATAATCCATACATGAAGCAGGTTATGTGTGTCATTGAGCTTTCATATGTGACCCATCCATTGTTACACTCTACGGAAATGTGCGTCAGGCCAAAATTGACAATGTGTTAATGATTCAGATTTAAAACAATTGTTATCTTGAAAGATATTAATTACAGTTAACAGCAACACATTGGGGAATGAATAAGTTGGAACTACATCATTTAATGCTTCTTCCATGTCTACATTACATTGGTTTCAATTTCATTAAAATCCGATCTTGGTGCTCGTTACCGCTACACAAAGATCTAACCAATGCTGTGATTGCTTGGATGAAAGGCTGTTCTGTCATGACCTGCAATCAGATTTCGTCAGATTAGTTGCAGCAAGCACTAAGATCTGATTTAAATGAGATTGCATTGGTCTGAGACCGTCATTCATGTACTACTCAAATGAAAAATAATAGTTGAACTTACTGAAAATATTGTTCTACATATCATGACATTTTGTTCATTATGCCATTGGTACTTAAGTTTGAAGATGAATGTCAACAAATCTCTTGCTTTCAGATTTGAAGTTGAAGATGATGAGGTCATACTTGCTCGCAGACAAAAGACTGTTGACTATGGGAAAAATACCATTGGGTATGACCGATACAGCCAGACCATTCCAAGGTAAAGACACAATAATAATCTCAAACACATTGCCTTTCATTCCTCACATTTGTCTGAAGATGAAAGAAAGATCCGCACCTTTTTCAGAGTGGTGACATGGCATTCTCATTGTCCTGCTGTAGGTTTTGATAATGAATTCATGCATCCAGAAGACTGTTTTATGCTTATCCATGTCCTACACACATAGTTAAGAAACATTGGTCGCAGAGAGTAAGTGGATGGGTGGCTCGTCAGCAAGCATGACCCATGTGAAATTCTAGGGTTTCAGTCCTACCACACACTGAAGACCATGGTACATGTGTCTCCATGGGCAAGGGACTTTCTCCAGAATATGCCACTGGTCACCAAGCAGTGAATGGTACTTGGTAGATTAGATGTTAATGATAATAAGCATCTGCAGGCTCATCATAGGCAGTTTGGGCTAATAATATTGTGTTTTGATGTTTTCTCCGCACAGTGAAGATGTACAATGTGCATGTGACACCGGAAAATACTATATCAGAAAATCCCTACCAAAGTGCACAATTTAATCCTTTTATTATGCTATCTCGCTATTTAAAAAAAGTATTCACTGTTTAAGTGTTTACCTAGACTTGGTTTTTTATCTATTTTATTAATTTTATTTAAACTTTCATTCAATAATGTTTCTGTTAATTTCTGCGAAATCATGTGTCAACTGATAGGCAGATTGCACCAATTCACCGTTTGTTACAGCAACCACAAACGGATTACTGCTATTGATGCTGTAAAAACTAACCTTAGTTGCCACAGAATGGAGATATATCATGAATGTCATACTTTGACTCGTTAAAAGTATTATTTTTTTTAGTTTTATTATTACATATCACTTTTCTTGATTGTGGTGTCATTGTACGCATGTTCTATACATTGCTGTTTGTAAATCAGTGACCTCCGTTATAAGGTTTTTAAAACGGTCACTAAACTTAGACTGCTGTTTGTTGTTTTGTTTATTTTGGAATTTGCACCAAAATCTATCCATTTCAGCTATGACAAGTTTTATCACTTAGTTTTCATACACAGTTGTGGGGCCCTCACTTGACCCCACAATATTGGCTGTCTTTTATCTATTTCAACATGATTATCATTTGCCTTTCGTTTATTTGAAAAGAATGAAAATATCCTGGCCTGCCGTTTGACCACTGGCAGCTTGGCCAGGCTTTGCAAATGTCATGGGGAAAGGGGCAACTTGAAATCCGAGTGGCTAATAGCAATGTGAACAAATCACACAATATAATAAATTCAGAACATTTTTGCAAGGCATCAGAAACCATTATTTTATTTCCAAATTTATTACTGCAAGAATGATACAATAGTTATATCATGTCAATTCTGAATTCATTTTGTTCTGTAATGCTTGTTTGTATTTCAAGGGCAAAGAGACAGAAGTGCCACCCAAAGACCCCCAACAAATACTGGAAGGTGAGCCGCCGATCCTGGGACACCCAGGTGAAGACCTGGAGGAAGCTGCTCCACATCTGGGACCCACCCTCCACAGGGGGCGCACATAACAGCAGGTACGCTCAAGGTTTAGTAGATGAGAAGCCGCCAACTATGGACTGGTCTTTATGCTGTTGTGTATGCCTGTCGTAAGAACTAACAGGATCGGGTGGTCAGACTCGCTGGCTTGGTTGACGCATGTCATTGTATCCCAATTGCCCGGTTCGATGCTCATGATTATTTACAGACTGACATATAGCTGGAATATTGCTTAGTTTGGTGTTCAACAACAAACAAAATAATACTGTTGTGATGTTTAGTGAGTTGGATTGTGATACAGAATGAAACCTATATTCAGTAGTGTTCATCCTTCACTAGGGAGCCTATGATCAAGATAAACATCAGTAGCATGGCATAAAGGGAATTCTGTTGCAAGACATATTTATGTATTCGACATGATTCATACACTGTTGTTGCTGGAGGTAATGAAATATCTTGTACCTCACTACTGAAATTGAAAGGGGACAGGTGCTCTAATTTGATATGCAGATTTGTGTCCCTTGGCTACACCAGAAACCTATGATTATGGGTTTTGCCCTTATTATGTTTCTAGGTCAGCATCATACATGTGATCATGACTTTCACCAAAGTGGTTTGTCTCTGACCTGTATCACTTTGTGCTTTCCTCCCACATTAAGCTGACATGCCATGATGTAACTAAAATCCAACTCACTCAAACTGAAACTTTGCCGATCCAACAATTACTTCTCTTGAATGGTTTCAAATTGTATAAATTTGTTATCGTTTATAGCCTATTATCAATAGATTTCATCATGTGTTTCTTGTTTTTCTCATTGATTTATGTTGTATCCGATGTCTCTTTACCTCACTGTATAGTTAGTTCATTTGGAGCCAGGGGAGTGACAGCTCATGACTCATTATTGTGGGGGCTAAAGTGTGATATATCATCTCAAGAAATCTCATGAGCCATTGTTTTCTTGCAGCACTGATGCAGCTATTACGGATTGTTCCTCTGAAGGATCTCTTGAAGCATCCATGGAGCGTGATCTTAACTTGGACTCGGACAACTATTCGGACTCAGAATCCACCTCTTCAGTTTCCTCAGTGAAGCGATCCAAACCTTCAGTTTCCCCAGTTTTCATGGTGCCAAACTCGGTCGTCCCACAAATCAAGACAAACATCCCCAGCAATATCAAGCAGAGCTCACCCAAAAAGTCTGAGAACACAGACAATGAACTGTTGAAGACATTTTCCATAGATGATTTTGAAATGGATGACCCAGAAGAAATAGACAGCTGGAAGTGAAGGCATCGTTCTTGCCTTATTGATGTTCTCATTACATATATTACATCTCATTACATTGTTATGCATTGTTCAAATCTTTTTTCTGACCTGGAAATACTTGAGTGCATGATGAATGACAACTTGTAAAATTGGTAAAAATACAGAGGGTTTCAATGTTCTGCAAAAACATGTAAGCAGTGTTCGAAATTTAGGGGGGTCCTTGAGATTTGCTTGTTAGTATTTGAATATTGGGATCCCCTTGTTCTTTAATTTTACCATTAGAGTAATGACAAAGACCTTTTGACTTTCATGTTTAATTTGAATACTGATTAGCAATAGGTAAACTGTTATATTTTTACTATAAACATTTATGTAGATGTGAAAAACTGCGTCATATTTATCAAACTGGAACAGGCTTTACAAATATGGGAATATTATTTTATCCCACACCACAATTTATTTTTTAAAAAGCTCAGAAAGAACTAAAGTGTGATTATTTTTTAGTCATCCTGCTGTAAATATTTGCTTGTTTGTAAATCCTGCCATATTTAATGACTGTCTCTACAGTTCCAATATTACACTACAACCAGGGGTAGATTTGACAACAAATTCATATGAAGCCAGATGGGCTTGCTCCTTTCAAAAGTTACTGGCCCTTCTCCAAATTAACTGGCCCAAAGATAAATGTTTAAGGCCGAAATTTTAGAACTCCTCACCCTTAAAATGTCATTTCCTGCACTCTGAGGTTAAATCCTAGCTTCCATTTGACAATTTTATGAGCAAATAAAGATGTTGTACAGAACATTACAAAATGGTCATCCTACCGTGATGATCTTTGAGCCAACCATTCGCACAACCTCATCTCCCCAGAATATTTTCTCATCCAAATTACAAAATTCATGAGCAGTGTCCAATTAAAATAATTGCACACACACAGAAGGGTGAAATTTTGACTAGCCAGACGGGCCATCAACTTTGTTTCAGCAAGCCTTTCATAATTTTAACTGGCCACAGGCCAATGGGCCAGCAGTTAAATCGACCCCTGCAAACACTATTTGTTCATGTGGTTGAGTGTTAAACTATAAAAGCTTTACTTTCCCAGTTAAAGATAAAATGCCCTTGTAATGTTAAAATAATGGGGAAATTGTGAAATTTGTACTAGCTGCAAGTTAGTGTTAATTTCTAACCCTGTAGTTAGTGATAAGTGGCATAATTATAATCACTTTAGTACCAAGTTAATGTAACATTTGCTTATGAAACTGACATTGTGGCCCGTGTCTTGTCAGCACATCTGCTTATTCAAGGAAGTGATAACTTTTAACGACCTGCTTCACTTTAGGCTCATCGGTATCCTCCCAAAACGTAGACCTGCCATCAGACCGGCTCATCTCATTGAACTGACGAGCCATCATATGCCTGAAGTACTGTTGATGTGATGTGGTTACCCCATCAAACTGCTCACCTTGTTTTTACATTGCATTGAACTTAGGTATACTGCAACAAATACATGCTCATCTCATGTACGAAACTTTGATCGCGATTATATCACTGAAATGAAATGTGAAGTTGACATTCCCTTTGTTCAAGTTACAAACATATCAATATTTCTAAAAGCAGTGACTGACTACTCAATGATGTACCATAATCCATTGTTGTTTGACATGGTGCAAACTGTTGAGATTATGTTGGATGTTTGCCACTTCACTACACAGCAGACAGGCAGGGCCCCGCCGCTATATTGCCCAAAGCGGTGTGAAACCATAATCACTCATCGGACTATCAATTATGTTTTGAAATAGTTGACACTTTCCTTGAAAGTAATTATTTATATTTAAAGGAAAAATGTACCAAAAAGACAAATTAATCTAAAAGGGTAGTTTATATATTTTTGTCTTATATTTTTTTAAGAACAGATTATTTTATAGTCACTAAAACTGAAAATTATATGGTAAAAGAAACCACAGTCCAAAAAACTTCCACCCAGCTTTCAGCAACACTGTCATTAATACAGCCTATGCTAGTCTAAGTGTGGCCATATAAGGCTTAGGAAGTACCAGGCGCTTCTCTGAAAATATCTGCCCAATCTCGTAGGTATCCTTAAGACAAGAAATTTCCTGTTATTTTTAATGAAAAATGCTGAAAAGCTTAGCTGGTTTGATTGTACAAGTAAATTTAGGGCTTTTACAGGTGATGTGTACCTAAAAATGAATAAAAAACATTTTGATTATTTCTTTTAATATTTTTCAAATTTAATATTAAAAAAGTCAACATTGCAGACAATATTTTACAATTAATTATGAATATTGGAACATGTTGATCATGATAAAAAAAATAAAACTGTGCTAAATCGTTTTGTGGTTGATTTGATGCAGCTCTTTTTATGTATAGAAATCCATGTACTTGTTTATTTATATTGACAGTTAAAGATTGTTGTAGCAACTCTGTGCAGGAAGATTTTTGTATGGAGGTCAATTGAAAATAAAGATTTTAATGTACATAAATTGATTTATCTTGTCACTTTCCAAACTTTGTGATGATTATATATGTATATCTTTATGAAAATCTTCACAAATATCTCAACCTAGATGTGCTGTCAGACTTGTGCTGTTTCTCTTGAACAAGGGCAAAAGTAAGCGTGGCTCACCAATACCCCCGACCCACCTAGTGTGTCAGTAACAAATGTTATATTTGGGGTAACACTTTCTTAGTGAAGTACAGTTTCTCGTACTTTTTTTAGGTTGAGTCCCGTCCGGGATTCGAACCCACAGTGTGTCAGTAGTTTCAAATTAAATAATTGATAGGGTTAGGCTTTGAAAAATTCATAAAAAAATGGAAATTGATAAAAACATATTTTTTTTCTTTTGACTGCACCCCTCCATATGACTCAGAGATGAATCCACTGAATAGTTTAAGAGAAATCGCGCGGACAAAGTTTTCGGACGGACGGAAGGAACCTTGGTATAACTATATACCCTCGACCTAAAAGGTCGGGGGTATAATAAAACAGGAACAACTGCTAAACTTTGCTTGGACTCTATAAGTGATCACAGTCAATTAGTTGTAGGACTTGGGTGGCCCCCTTTCACAGTGTCTACCAGATTTGTAGACATTATACTGTGTAGGACTTGAGAGGAGTGGCTGAGAATAAGTGGGAATGATGTATTGCATGCACTTTCACTTAACAGTTTAAGAACAATTCTTCCTATGCTTACAGGATGCATTTGAACCAAATAGACAACCAGAGAGTGTATTCTTGCAAATACCCATGTTCAATTACATCATTGCCATAAGTCCTGTATTTTGTCTGTCATCACCCTATGAAAACCTTCAGACTTTCAACAATAGTCCACTTCTCTGTCATCTGTTCACCAGCAGTTGTGTTGTAATGGAATCTTGCTACCCATACCTCATGCACAAGCTGGGAAAAGCTCACTTTCCTGTTTTGGCAAGTGTCAAAGACATTTTTCCTGAGTTTAACATAGCACATTAATTTGGTAGTTATGTTTTATCAAGATCTTCGGTTTATTGATCAGGGATTATCCTGTGATCCAGCTGAAGAAGTTTATATATTTTGTTTACCTTAGCTACTCATTAGTTTACATAGTCACTAAGGTTGAACAATGCGGAATAAGACTACTTGCAGGATTTAGTCTCTTCAGGTTTTGGATAGGGCACTGTGGTGGCCTAGGAAGACCAGCTGGCGGCGGTCTTGGTGAAGAAAGCCAGCATGTCCACTTGGAAGAACCTACACCAGGTGACCAGGGTAGCTGGGGATGGGAAGAGCTTCCCAACACAGACTTAACGGCCTCCATAGGAATGATTGCATGAGCACTGCACGGTAGCCACAGTAACCCTTGGCATTCATGGAACCAAGACGGACAGAGGGTTCCCAATACGGAAAAGACATGGTTACCAGCAGAGCTTCAGATTGATCATCCCAGATAAAGTCCAGTCGGACATGGGCTTGGATACTGCTAGATGATGCCTAGTGGACTGCACGTGCCATACATGCCAACCTATGGCGAGACCCTGGAATCCCCACAAGGAGACATGAATTGGGTACTCAATACCTCTTATACCCTGGAATCCCTGCTAGGAGACTCGATTTTTTACAGACCGCCGTCATATAGCTGGAATATTGCTGAGTGCGGAGTAAAACAACAAACCAACCAACCTTTTAGGGCAAGCATTGGGTACCCGGGTCCTACTCAGTACCCACCCGACCCGAGTACCTGAGTTACCTATCTCAGCCCTAGCACATATCGATTGTCTAATCAGAGAACATTTACAAAATCGACATCTAGGTTCCAAAATATGTTATTGAAGTCGTTCCAAGTCTTCAATCAACATCATCAACTCACCCAAGTACTTTTAGAAATGCAAAGCTTTGTTGTATTTTAACTGAAACAACTGATCGCTTATCTCAGTGACTGAGATGGTGTGCTATTTTTAGACAACCCCTGCTGAGTGTTTCATGCAATTTGATACTTGATACTGTGTAATCGGTGAGCCTAAATTATTGTAAGAACAAAATGAGGCAAGAATAAGTATCTTTGCTTGGTAAATCTCGAATCCTTTGTTATCTGATTGACCAGGTTGTCTTTGGTAGTCGCCATCTTTGTGAAGCAATTTGAAATAAGAACAGCGATCGTATTGGATGTCATGTTTCATCACAAGGAACAGATCTCATGCTCTACATCGGGTGGCGGGTGAAAAGGAGGCTTGAACAGGCAAGGGAGAAAACTAGACTGACATAAGGCAAGGGGACACTCGTGCCTCCATAAGATGATTCTACCCTGTAATCCCCACACTGATAAGCATGGGGTACTGGAAACGTATTCCCTCCACCCAGGGCTGTACTCCCAACAGATAAGAAAAAAACAAGTCATTCTTGCAGATTTTCTTTAATCACAGAAAAAAAATCTGTTTACAAATTGTTTACAAATGATTATTGTGCTTGGGTTGGAGGTGATCTGTGAATTTATTGATGTGTGGGATAAACTGGATGTTAGTATTGCACAACTCTGTCTCAGGTAGGTTATAGGGTCAATACAAAAGTGTAACTACATCACAGATTCCCAGTGGCTCCAGGCAGAGAATCAAAGGCTAGTTAGACAAGAAACACCTAGTCTGAAAACAATTTGCTCAAAGCAAGTGGTCAAAACATGCTCACTTCAAATTTGTAGAAAGCCTATTTGATAGAATGTAATATCTCAAATAAGGCCAAGAAAGAAAAAGTTCAACATCAGAACCATACTTCAAAATGACATGGGTTATTTTTTCAGCAGGCCAAAAACTAATTTAAATTTCTTAGCATTTATAGTGCCAGTTCAGGCAAGGAAAGATAACTCTTTACTATAACCAAGCTGGTCTTTCACAAAAACTAATATCAAAACCTGATTATTTACCCACCAAAACCAAATCTTATTGATCTCCCTGAAAAGATATGATGTACAGGGCATTAATGCACCCAAGAATACATTTTTATCTTAAAAAGGCATTGTCTTTTGCCATTCGCAATAATTCAAAATGTTATCAATTTCCCGATTACGAGATACAATTGCCCAAATAGTTTTTAGCTAATCATGGGGACATATTTTGTTTATATGTAATCTCAGAAATTACACTGTACATTCTATATCTTCATCAGTCAATTTATTATTTTAAATGATTTATGTAAACAGTTAATAATATCACACATACCCTTGTGTATATTTACAAGAACTAACAATGAATGAGTGCTTATGATAACAGCACCTGATATTTGATACCACTGGATAATCTGAGAAACACCACTGGAAAATATAATGCTTTCCTAAACACTAACGTTGACTAACTGGCCAATAATAGACTCTACGGGCTTTGTTTAAACTTTTAAAACAAAACTACCATTGGTAACATAGAATACAAATGTACATACAAACTGCAATAACCGAGATAACAGGACTCTGATTGGGTTATTCATAAACTACAGGTATACTGGGAAAGTTGAAACAGACCAGCCTTTATACGATATCAGTTGCATAGGTTACACTAATACCGTACAGGAATATCTCAAAATTGCCCTCAGAGACAATCATGAATCTAATAGAAGTCTAAGTCAATACATAAATTTCCTTGGTAGTTAATTTGGTTAAATAGTGCCGAGTCATTGGATGACAATCGATCAATAGGACGTCATGCGACACAATACTTTTCTTGATCTACATACCAATAAATCAAGGGCTCAGGTTAAATTGAATTAGTATTCATCTATTATTCCTGAGACGTGAACCAAGTAGGTACATGAAGGCTCTGGCTTGCCTCTGCTCCAGACATTGTGGACCTGATAACAATAACAGGATGACCATTTGATATTCGGGATTGGGGGGTCTGGGACTTTTTTTTTCAAAAATAATCTGTTCCCCCAAATGCTCTAAATATATTATTTCAACTCAGGTTTTATGAAAAGAAATAATTTGTTACTTTAATCTTGGTTGTGATTTTGATTTTTAAAAATTGCTTGGTTCCTCCTTCCACAGAATTATTTTATTATATTTTAGGAGGCACCCGAGATCCCTCTGTGCTATTTGACCCTGGTAATCATGGCTAGAAAGACTTACCTCCCCTTGTCATATACACATGAGCCAATACGCACCTATTGATAATTTTTACATATATATTATAAATCACGTACTTACTGCCAAATGAAAACGTTTTAAATATCCCTGCCAACTTAGCTTTATCTTGCTTAAAAGGAAATGCTGAATCAAGAATCTATTTGAGTTACGTCCCTTTGAAATAATGTCATCTCATGATAAATCACATTCTTACTGCCAAATGAAAATTTTTAAATCTTCCCTGCCAACTTAGCTTTATCTGGCTTAAAAGGAAAAGCCAAATCTAGAAACAACTAGAGTTTGAAACAATGTCAGCTGTTCTTATCACAGGAATTTATAGCTGTGTCAACAGGCTTGTTGATTAGTGCAACAAGAGTGCCCTAGCAGGAAGTAAAATAGAACATAAATAGTTCATAAGTAGAGGTCTAAACCAAACTATAGAATGAACTACAGGGCAAAACTTAGTAATAAAAAAAGAAATGAATATAAAATATATCAAAACACTGATTCATAAACATTCTTGTATATAATACAAAAGAAGTACAAGATTATTTGAAATAAAGGATAGTGTAGAAAATGTATGTGGAAAAGGATGTACACAATATTTGTTCAACAGAATACAAAAGCAGAACAGTCCGGAAACTCCTGGTGAACACAACCTACTTTCTAAATGCTGATGTACAGTCTTATAAACAAATCCCTGAAGGTGACACAGTCTCACAAACACATGTGTTGTCACACTGAGATAATACACATTTCCTTAGCAGAACAAACTTAATGAATTGAGATATGGAACCTTTCTTTGGTGAATATCGATTTTAAGTGTAATCCCTAAACTTAAATAAATAGATCCTATTTTGAGTTTCCCTAAAATGTCATTTCTTACATTTGAGTCATAGTATGGTCTCTCTCTGCTATGTTTTTCCATCATCACAAAATAATCATCATAAATTCATTTCTAATGAGATAATCTGTTTTAATTTCATGTCAATATTTCTCTGAAAACAAAAACATTGTCAAATACATTAATATGTGACAAAATGGGTTATGCAAAATAATTTCTTAAATAAATATAATAAATATGTTCGTAATGACTTCTAGAATGACACATTCCCCATAACTATTTTCAAAAGAATATTATTGACAAATAATTTATGAAAAGAGAAAGATATTCAAATTTAATTCTTACTTTTATAATTTTTTGAACAGCTACATTGAAGCTAATTTCCATATCTCACACTTAATGCCTTATTATCTAAAAAGCTTTAGAACATAATACAGGAAATCGTCATAAAGGTGAAAACAATTTATAAAAAAAATCTGTTAGCTGGACACCAACAACAAATAGTCTTTCACACTTTGTATTTTCTAACAATAACTTTTGTACACTATTTACACAGCGTGTATCCCTGAACGTTTTAATACGCAAATAACCAACAAAATGTCACATGATCGGACACATAGATAATACATCAGCATATGTGAAATGAGAACAAACAAACTGTTGTCTACATCCACTACTACATAAGACACTGAGAAGGAGTTAATGCCATATACAACAGATAAACCGTTTTCAAATTATGCGGAGACCACGAAAATCTAAAAATAATAAGTAATAACTTTCAACAATATCATTAATAAAGAATTTACTATTACATCAAGTAACTGTCATAAATTCTATATATTGTGTTAACATCTTGAATAATATTTTCTTTAAGTATTCGTAGGTATCTTTTTGACTAGAAATAGATTGGTGAATACTATCAGGATATATATCGGAAATTAAAGTAGGATTTCCTTTTCAAACATTCAAATGCATTCTATGTTGCGGAGGAGGTTTACAGTTCTAGAATGCTGGAGCTGTTTCAAATTTACAATGATTTATATTTACTTAATTCATTACATTAGACAAGGCACAGTACACGGACGAAGATATGAAAGACAAAATCTGAATTCTCAAAATTAGTCCAACCAGTAAAAGAATAGAATGTGCCACTTTCCTGACAAATTCTATTGTGAATTTTCTAATGATGCAACAAAGCAGCTTATGTCTGAAACACAATCAATATTTCCACCTTTTTTAAAGCATGCGTCACGTTTCTAACATTCCACTCTGTAGAGGCACTTGTAAGCCTGAGGCTGCTTGTGACATCTTTAGATGAGTATTCAGTCAGAAAATGTTGTAAATGAACGAACTATACATCCTATTTGAGGTCACAAACTCAAACTAAACAATCCCTGCCAGAATATCAGCACTTGATATCTTAGTACCCATGTTGTGAATGTATGTGCTCTTTGAGAGACAGTTGCTTGGATATTTTTACAAAAAATAATTTGATCCAGAAAATACTGGAAAAAGAATAATTATGCCTCATGACTCACCCAAATGTGTTGTTGGTCCATCAACACTGTATCAAACACAAATATCCCAGTACTTAAGCCATACAGAGAACTGAATCTTGGACCTTGATGTACATAAAACAGTCAATGCATTACAGTGTGTTAAAAAGCCGCCTACACAGTAGCCAGTGGCTTGCAAATTTTGATTGGCTAAAGACTTTAAAATGTCCCTTGCCCAACTGGCTTTTTATTTCATTACACACCTCTTTAATAGACGATCCAAATTTTAAAAAAGCCTCCCATTTCTGTATATAAAGAAGACCATCAAATATTAATAATAAAATTAATATCTGTAACTAATCGAGGTTGCACTTTTGCATAACATTTTAATCATCATTTGCAATTTGGGTTTACTTTTTTGATGCCTTTGCAGAACCTAGTCACTTGTCACCTGGCCAGCAATATTTTAAGAATATTTCACACAGTGATGCATGAACTACTGCTCTACAAAACCTATCCAGTCAATACTGCACTTATCCCTCCAAGAGGTGCATGAACGAGTGAGCGGTTCAACACTGTAACACAATACCAATGGGTTAGCACTTTAACAGTGAGCCTACCCCTCTCCGACCAAGGAACATTGTATTTGTGACCCCCAAAAGGATATCAGATCTTGCCTTGTGAGTAAGTTGTAGAACACATGGCCAAGGCCTTAAAGAAAACACTGTGGGTACGTCGACATGAGTCTGAGAGTCGGGGCCAAAACACTGTGGGTACGTCGACATGAGTCTGAGAGTCGGGGCCAAAACACTGTGGGTACGTCGACATGAGTCTGAGAGTCAGGGCCAAAACACTGTGGGTACGTCGACATGAGTCTGAGAGTCAGGGCCAAAACACTGTGGGTACGTCGACATGAGTCTGAGAGTCAGGGCCAAAACACTGTGGGTACGTCGACATGAGTCTGAGAGTCGGGGCCAAAACACTGTGGGTACGTCGACATGAGTCTGAGAGTCAGGGCCAAAACACTGTGGGTACGTCGACATGAGTCTGAGAGTCAGGGCCAAAACACTGTGGGTACGTCGACATGAGTCTGAGAGTCGGGGCCAAAACACTGTGGGTACGTCGACATGAGTCCGAGAGTCGGTGCCAAAACACTGTGGGTACGTCGACATGAGTCTGAGAGTCGGGGCCAAAACACTGTGGGTACGTCGACATGAGTCCGAGAGTCGGTGCCAAAACACTGTGGGTACGTTGACATGAGTCTGAGAGTCGGGGCCAAAACACTGTGGGTACGTCGACATGAGTCTGAGAGTCGGGGCCAAAACGCCAAAATCCATTTTTCCTATCAATTGCTAAAAGTCAGTTGTTCGTGAAGGGGTGAATACCACAGCTGTAGTCTTTAAGGCCTGGCATGACAACATGGCTGGTGGAGCCGTGAGAGGCTGGCTCCAGACGGACACAGATGACCTCTATATCGGCTACCTCCAGCTGATCTAGTGTCACTAACGTAAACACCAACAGACTTCAGCTACTTCAGATGGTTAAAGACAAACAACAGTAAAGGTAATCTGGTTAACTGTGGGAATTGAATAATAAAAGTTAATTCTGGTTAGGGATGTCACGATACACATATCTCCTTACAACTTATCTCCATACTATACAGTGCATACACTTTTAGACCAAGCTTACATACTATCTGACAGTAATAATAATAATAACAATAATAATAATCCATTTGTATTGAGCCTTTTCCAAGATAGATATGTTCAAAGCACACCATTATTACCCCGATAAATGGATCAGTGTGCACTCAATTTTCATTCTCAGCTCCCTGGGGAGTATACAACCCAGACTGCCTGAGAGTAGTCATATCTAGCTATATAAGTATGAAATAAAATAAATATTCAGTTCTGTTTGAGTACCAAAAAATGCACTTTGCAAGTACTTGAAAAGACATTAGTTCTTATTGAATCCATGTAGGAGAGAAGTATTAGACAGTGTATCGCAGGCAGTGAGTGAGTGAGTGAGTGAGTTTGGTTTTACGCTGCTTTTAGCAATATTCCAGCAATATCTTGGTGGGGGACACCAGAAATGGGCTTCACACATTGTACCATTGTCGGGATTCGAACCCGGGTCTTCAGTGTGACGAACTAACGCTTTAACCACTAGGCTATCCGACCGCCCCTCACAGTGTATCGCAGACAGTGTATCGCAGACAGTTGTATCATGACATCCCTAGTTTCTCATTAGAAGAAGCATTTCTCAGTAGTTGAAATATTCAGGTGAGAAAACAAATTGTGGGGACAGTTCTCACCTGATCCAGGTTACACCTGTCAGATCTCAGTTCCTCATGACAGAGATTCCCTGTTCTCACACTGAGGTAAGTAGATCTCAATATAAGATCTCACATAATACAGACATCTCTCTTCCTGAGACGCAAATCGACTCCTTGTCACTCAGTTCCAAAGAGAAAAGATCTCACTGAAACACCTCGGTGTCTCATCTTTGTGCACACGTCTCGACAGGTCTCACTGTCCATTATATCTCTCTTGCTAACTAATCTCCAATACACAATAGAATATGAACTATCAAAACTAACCCATGAGATGAACAATCTCTAAATGTCTCACCTAATCTATACAATGAGATGACATATTCTCACATACACGATAAACAGCATTGTACTCTCAAACAACTTTAACAACAAAAATAAACAAAAACATGGCAAAAACAGCACATTCACAATTGTCTCCATAGCATGAATGATCTCTGACAGGTGATTATGACTTTGAGGCACTGAATTTCTGCGTATCCTTGTAAATGTTTTGATATAGTTGGGTGGGCGATATCAGGATGGGGGACGTGTTCCCGACCTGCGCCAGGACCTGTTGCCGCATCATGTCCTCGTATGCCGCCATTTGTATGTTGGCGTACTGCGCGGCATACATCTGCTGCAGCTGTGCAGGGGAGGTAACTACGCTGTTGGGGGAGATATGAGAGGGCATGTAAGGTGCGGGGAAGGCAGGATGAAGATGTGGAGATGGGACTTCGGAGTAGGCTGCAGACGCTGTCAGGGGCTTGGACAAAGCCTGAAAAAGGGAATGATGTTTTAGATTCCTTCAGGGAAATAATTAGAGAATAACCAATGGGATATGACCCAAAAGACCAACTCAAACTAACTCCATGCCCAATTAAATACAATATGTTTGAGCTACACAGATGTATTTTTGTTATTTTCATCTGAACCAAGCTAAATTATTCAACAAAAATCTGTAAACAATTAAATAAAACGTGTGACCTTACATAACTAAGCTCATATGCTTATTGTGTCTAATATCTCAAGACTACAAATCTATCACACACGTTGAGACTTTCTAAGTGTAGAACATTGTGACATCCTGGATATCAATCATCAGACTGACAACAAACCTACTTGCCCACCTATTTATCATGAAATCCCATGGCAACTTACTTTATTATTGTTTAGTGGTGTACTTGTGGCAGATCTAGATCCAGTCGAGGTTGGAGAGGCGCTGTGACGTTCCTGAGATCTCACGAGAGAGAGGGGACTTGAACTTCTGACTGAGGCCGACCGAATATCTGACCTTGAGCCTGGTCGCTCATGGTCTTTGAGACTTGCTCTTGAGGTAGGAAACTCCTGAGGGAACAGAGCACACTTGAAGGTCTTGGGAGCAAGGTCCTTTTTTTCATAAAAATCCCGTTTTTGTTCTACTCTTTTCTGTTCTTTCTCTCTCATAGTTTTCATGCTAAAGTCAACAGGCTGATCCTCATTACTGCTCATGTCTGAGGACTTGCTGTGGTTCATGTGTGCAGGAGTGAGTCGACTCGCTGGCGGGTCAGCTCTCACACGTTTCACACTATTAAAGTACGGATCGTTGGCTAGAACAGGACTGAGGTGGGGTCGTGAGTGGTCTCGAGATGGCAGGTGAGACGTTTGTGGCACATTGGGGTAAGGGTATGGCCGTTTGAGTTGTTGATGTGAGTGAGCTGGCCCACTGTGGGCAGGGACGATTGGCTTTGAGCTGTATGTTGATGGGGAGTGAGTCCGGGAGTTGGAGGTGCCCTCGTACTTCACTTCGTCAAGTTTTGGTTTTGGGGTGTGTTGTATCACAGATGGCCTCATGCTCGGAATGGCTTTTTTCGATTCGTTTTCGTTGATTTGTGAAGCATTGTTGGTAACGAACAATGAGGATTTGGGAAAATACATGTTGCTGTTTTCACTGGCATTGGCGGCAACCTCCACGGATGGTGACGATGACGTGTGAGCGATGAAATGTGATGCGGGCAAGGGGAAATTGCTTGCATAGAAAAGTGCATGTGTTGTTATCACAGGGGTCTGTGGGGGCTGGGTGTGTGGCATCTGCTGTAGATGAGCAGATGTCTGTAGAGGCGGAAGTGGTGTCTGCTGTTGTGACTGGGTGGGTAGTGACTTCACATGGTTCTGAACTTTTCGTTGAACTAAAGGCGATAAAATACTTGGCCGTGTGCGTTGTTTAACTGATGGCACTTCAAGGTCTGTTTTCTGTATTGAAGATATCTGCACAGGTTCTATTTTGACTTTGCCATTTTCAATACTGGTCATTTTTGGAATCTGAACTTTGACCTCTTTAAGTGTTTCCATTGTCAGATCTTCAACCTTGTTCTCTTTGAAAGAAACTTTATCCAGCATCTTCTTCACTGTCTGTCTGGGGTGACCTCTTTTCAGCTAAAATGTAAATTCAATATTTGTAAAAGTGACAACAGTGCAACATAGACCTGAACAATTGTTTCCATCATGTCACAATTTTCGGTTTAAAATTGGAGGTGAGGTGAGGTGAGGTGAGGTGAGGTGAGGTGAGGTGAGGTGAGGTGAGGTGTGTGTCTGTGTGTGTATGTGATATCTTATACTAGTCTAGACTAATGCCGGTTTATAGTGCTAGCCCACTGAGATACCATGCCGCAGGTTAACATGAATACCCCACTCTGACACAGTATACTGACTCCGAGCTGACCAGTCTTTGTTTTAGCCCCTTTATGCCAAGCGCCAGACAGGGTAACAACAAGTACCATCTTTAAACGTCTTTTGGAATGAGGCAGCCGGGTTAAAATTGGAGGAAAGTTGGAAGTGACACAGGCTCAGATTGAAACCAGCGGACACTAACATAGCGGAAACACAACTTGCCAGACAGTTGCAGCTTCTTAGTCTTTTGTTTGTTTGTTTGTTGTGTACTGCATCACTCAGCAATATTCCAGCTTGAGTAAATAATCCACACAGTGTTGGTACAAAATCAAACGAGTGAACCGAGTCTGCAAATCTGACCACCCAATCCATTAGGGGACTTCTTACAACCAGCATGTTTCTGGTCCTATTCCAACCCGGAGTCCCCACAGTGCCCCTACAACAGCCCACTCGGCCAACAGTGCCTCCCAACCCATGATCCCTCAAACAGCTTCCAACACTTCTGTTTGGACAAGTTCATGCATTGTTAATAGCTCGAGTTGATACAGATCAATGGTGCTGAAGCATGACAAGAAAGGTAGCTGGTTAAGTGAATGACTTTGATTACCTGTGAATTTACCTGATCACGTTCCATAGCCTTCTGTCGGCGGATTTCATTCCATTTCCGAACCTTTTCTTCCATCGACACATCAATTGCTTGCATCTAAACATATACAAACAGACGTAAACATACCTGTCATTTTCTGGTAAAAAAAAAAGCTCTAGTTCTAGGAAAGTAGAGCAGAAGATCGATCAATAATCTATTCCAAGGAATTACATATTAAGCAATATTCCAGCCAAATCAATGTAAAGGATACGAAGAAAAGGCCAGAATTAAACCCAGGTCTTTGGTGTAACAGGCCAGCACTTGGCTGCCCCACTGCCAAACATATTATTGTTAACTCTACCATATCAAGTTGTTACTTTGGTATCTAATATATTTGTCTTACCAATAATTCCTTCTTTTCTTCCAGTTCAGGCTTCAACTTTGCCTTATCGTGCCCTCTGTTCTGGTTGTTGATCATGGCCTTGACCTTTGACTTGATCTTATTCCGGGGTTCATCTCCCTTTTCGTAACGTTCAAAGGCCAGCAGTAACCTGGAACAGTTACAATACTTAGTACAAAATAAATCCAGGCACTTCATTATTTTCTACAGAACTTGCCTTTCATCTTTAGCCAAGACATACAAAGAGTGGGAGATATGTATGTGGTCCAGAGGATCAGATGTCCCCAATAACATGGTAATCTCAGCTGGGGTGACTAGGACCTGCTACACACACCAAGGAATGTCTGCAGACACACTACTAGGCTCTGTGCCTTGTTCTATGCAAAGAAAACAATATCAAATGCTGGATATGTATAAAATGTTGCAGGTCGGAACTTTCTGATCCTAGTTTTGTTTATGAATGTGTTTTTAAGCTGCATTCAGCAGTATTGCAGCAATATCATGGCAGTAGGTAAACAATCTAGTCTGAGCCAGACAATCCAGTGATTGATATAATGAGCCCTCTGAGCCAGACAAACAAGTGATTGATGAGTACTGAGTAGTTTGAGCCAGACAATCCAGTGATTGATATAAAGCTTAAAAAGATAGAAAACAATTGTTCTCAATGGCAAAGCAATGGCTTTAGAAAATTGTGCGGATGGGTGGGGGTTTTTTTTCGGGGGGGGGGGGGGTTGTCAAACTACAGCAGTATGTAACCAAATAAACATGCAACCTTGAAAAGGGCCTCCCTACATGTGTATTCCTTAATGAGTAAAATGCAGTCTTTGACTACTGTTGGGCAACCAGTGTGTGCATAATACATGCATATAAATATATATTTCACAAGGCGAAGATGTTAACGTGTGAGAACAAAACTGGAAGAGCATGTCAACGAATCCATACTAAAGTAAGCAAGTTAGTCCTGTTCCTATACTGTCTGGTTTTAAAAGCGTTCACTGTGTATCTGGACTTACATTTGTAATCCATCATATTACTTTTATCCAAGTAATCATTCAAATTTGTTTACATTAATTTCGATGAAATCGTGTATTAACTGATCGGCAAATCACTTGAACCCACAATGAACTTGCCTTGAAACGAAAATTAGTTGTTCGAGATACTAATTCATCGGTCTTCCAATCACTGTATTGAAATTTCTTTTTAGTTATGATATTGGCCATGACATTAAGTATTTATTGCTATTTCCAGCTTAATTTACAAGACAAATACACATGTAACCTTAATCTCTGTGAATGACACATTGTCCCGCATACAGTTTAAAAATAACATTGAATTAATTAGTAAACCATTATGTCTAGTATTGTTTTATTGTACATTTCATGTTTTCATTGACCACGGCAAAACAAGCAGCCAAACTCCCATTGCCATCATTCCCACAACACGAAAGTAAAGCAGTAGAGCAGTGCACATGTAGAGAGAAGTACCTGCACGCTATATTGGATCGCATTGTTTTCAGCATTTCACTGCTAGGGTCGTGTGTTTGAAACGCGGAATATTTAAGGATGTTTGAGTTTTTATTAAATGGAAATAAAAACAAAATGTGCGACAGACTTTATGATAATGCGGGCAGTGCCTGAAAACCAAAACTATTTTTTAGCCTAATGAGTGAGTGCGGGATTTGTGTTTAACGCCGCTTTTAACAGTATTCCAGTTATATCACGGCGTGTCAGCATAATGTGGGCGGAAAGCCCGAAGTGATGCAGGTCTCAGACGTTTACCACTTCAGTGAAACCCATGAGCATGGGTATGGTGCTGACAAACCTAGAAACATAATCGGGGCGAACCAGGATTCGAACCCACAATCATAGGTTTCTTGCGTGCCCAAGGGATGCAACTCTGCACAGCGATCATGGCACCTTAGACGACTGGGCCACTTGTGCCCCCTTTTAGCCTAATGAGCAATGATGTGAAAATGGCTCTGGGAGTGACATACCCAGTACATAAGGCCCTGAGAGGGCCTGAGTTGGGTGTGACACTATATCCAAGTTATATCACAGCCTATGCACAAAGTTCAAAAGGAAAGCCCAAAGAAAGTGAGTGTGTGAGTTTGGTTTAATGCTGCTTTGTAGCCATATCACAGTGAGTCAGCCGTAAGTGGGAGGAATGCCTGCAATGAGGCAGGTCCTAGATATTCACAGGGTTTCACCAGATACAAAATATTGTGTCCGATGCGCTTACAAATTGAGATTGGATGCAAAAATGTATGGCTGTTCGAATCATTAAAATTGGTGTTTAATCACATGTCCGTGGGTGACTTTCTTCAATTAAACTTACACTGTAACATGTTTCTGAATACCGTATATCGCCTTCAATAAAGTGACTTTGCCTATAAGGCGACCCCCCTGTACAAGCTTTAAAAATCAATGCTACTTTATATACCAAATCTATAATCGATCCAGAATGAAGCACATCACCAGCGCATACACAATCCCTACAATTGCGATAACAATGTGTTTGTCTTTCATTATTTTAAAATTCAAGTATTAAGTGCAGAAAACCATTACATTGTAACCCTTCAGCGAATTTAACAAACCAAGAATCAACAATGCAAACCCGTAATCGTAGGATCACACAGAAGGGATGCAACTCTTCACAGGCGAGCATTCCTTACTATTTAGGTTAGCAATGTCAACACCCACCTCTCGTAATGCCTTCGTGTACAGGTGGCAGCACTAGTGCTTCCTGGATGCCCGCCAAGCTTGTCATACAGATGCTTCCAGAGCCTCTTCTCTGTGATCTGTGACAACAAGAACAACGTGACATGGGACACACCAGCCTGAACTATCCAGCAGATCTATGTACCTACCTTCTGTGATTGTAGCATTCCTTAACATTAGTAACATTAGTACTCCAGTGTATGGCTAGTGAGACTACACGAAGGTTAGAGTGAGTGAGTGAGTTGTGTTTAACGCCGCTTTAACAGTATTCCAGTTATATCACGGTATATCAGCTTAATGTGGGAGGAAAGCCCGAAGTGATGCAGATCTCAGACGTTTACCACTTCGGTGAAACCCACGAGCACGGGTATGGTGCTGACAAACCTAGAAACATAATCGGGGTGAACCAGGATTCGAACCCACAATCATAGGTTTCTGGCATGCCCTAGGGACGCAACTAGGGCGCCTTAGACGACTGGGCCACCTGTGGCCCCACAACAGTTAGAAGTTGATAAAGATTAGTATGCAGCTTAAAACATAAAAGAATTGGTTCTCAGATAATGGTGTTTGAAAAAAGTATGGGTGGGCAGCGTCTTTTTGGGAGGAAGGGAATTCAAACTACTGTAGTATGTTACCAAATAAACAGTTGTGTGCAATGAACCTGGGAAAAAACATAAGTGTATTCCATGATGAGTAAAATACAGTATTTGAATTTGTAAATCATCATTCTAGTGATGTTTTATCTTTAAATTTTTTCAATAACCAAATTTGCCATCACCATAACACAAGATGCGCAGTTGAGCAATGCACATGTGAAGGGAAGTAACTGCCGGCTATTTTAGATCACAATATTTTTAGAATTACAACATTTCACTGCGGGGGTCATTTTTGTTTTGAAAACTAAATAAAAACAGCAGACTGCGTGAGAACCAAGACAATTTTTTTTAGCCTAATATACTGTTAATGTGTGGTGAATAAATCAGCTTCATTTAATGGCTATATTGAACTGGTATGAAGTTTGTGCAAGACTTACCATATCATAGCCACCAAGTTTCTTCGCATACGAGTAGAAGTAGTAGAGATCTACTGGAAGAAATGATAGTGACACTTGACAACATTAAGGATGGCAGCATCCAGGGTGCAGCGTTACATCAGGTCCAAACTATTCATCTCACACAACACGTAGGGCTGCTTAATGATGAGACACCTTGTTCTAGTGTAATAAATGGGGCAGAATAGAACCCTGTACCCTATGCCTGTGTCGATGTGGAGAATTTGGGGCAGAATAGAACCCTGTACCCTATGTCTGTGTCGCTGTGGAGAATTTGGGGCAGAATAGAACCCTGTACCCTACGCCTGTGTCGCTGTTTAGAATTTGGGGCAGAATAGAACCCTGTACCCTATGCCTGTTTCGCTGTGGAGAATTTGGGGCAGAATAGAACCCTGTACCCTATGCCTGTGTTGCTGTGGAGAATTTGGGGCAGAATAGAACCCTGTACCCTATGTCTGTGTCGCTGTGGAGAATTTGGGGCAGAGTAGAACCCTGTACCCTATGCCTGTGTTGCTGGGGAGAATTTGGGGCAGAATAGAACCCTGTACCCTATGTCTGTGTTGCTGGGGAGAATTTGGGGCAGAATAGAACCCTGTACCCTATGCTTGTGTTGCTGGGGAGAATTTGGGGCAGAATAGAACCCTGTACCCTATGTCTGTGTCGCTGTGGAGAATTTGGGGCAGAATAGAACCCTGTACCCTATGCCTGTGTTGCTGGGGAGAATTTGGGGCAGAATAGAACCCTGTACCCTATGCCTGTGTTGCTGGGGAGAATTTGGGGCAGAGTAGAACCCTGTACCCTATGTCTGTGTCGCTGTGGAGAATTTGGGGCAGAATAGAACCCTGTACCCTATGCCTGTGTTGCTGGGGAGAATTTGGGGCAGAGTAGAACCCTGTACCCTATGTCTGTGTCGCTGTGGAGAATTTGGGGCAGAATAGAACCCTGTACCCTATGCCTGTGTCGATGTGGAGAATTTGGGGCAGAATAGAACCCTGTACCCTATGTCTGTGTCGCTGTGGAGAATTTGGGGCAGAGTAGAACCCTGTACCCTATGTCTGTGTCGCTGTGGAGAATTTGGGGCAGAATAGAACCCTGTACCCTATGCCTGTGTCGCTGTGGAGAATTTGGGGCAGAGTAGAACCCTGTACCCTATGTCTGTGTCGCTGTGGAGAATTTGGGGCAGAATAGAACCCCGTACCCTATGCTTGTGTTGCTGGGGAGAATTTGGGGCAGAATAGAACCCTGTACCCTATGCCTGTGTTGCTGGGGAGAATTTGGGGCAGAATAGAACCCTGTACCCTATGCTTGTGTTGCTGGGGAGAATTTGGGGCAGAGTAGAACCCTGTACCCTATGCCTGTGTCGCTGTGGAGAATTTGGGGCAGAACAGAATCCTGTACCCTATGCCTGTGTCGCTGTGGAGAATTTGGGGCAGAAAAGAACCTAGTACCCTATGCCTGTGTTGCTGTGGAGAATTTGGGGAAGAATGGAACCCTGTACCCTAAGCTTGTGTCGCTGTAGAGAATTTTGGGCAGACCCTCAGAGGGAAGAATGTGTGGGCCAGCATTCTATAGGGCTATTTTCAAGATCATGGATACAGTGCCTGTTTTATGTGGGATTTTTACATAATTGAAAAAGGTGACTATATGCCAGAATCTAAAAATTGGAAAATGTGGTTAAATGGGAAACCGGATAATCTTCTTGACTATTACAGAATGTGAATATACATTTTCTTGAATTTTACAATCTAAATATTTGCAGGTCACAACATGAGCTCTTATTAGCATTCTACAATACAGCATTCATTATATACCCAATTGCATTAGAGTCTGACAGTTGACTCATCAGAAAGTATGACCAAGTTACATATTTAGTCTGCAGTGTCTAATCACAGCATCATACAATGAATCTGCACCTATTTGGAAAGTCAACTTACTCTGTTTGAATCCCAATGATGGAACCCTGTCGATGGGTGTCTGTCGATTTCTCATAAACTTGTGGAGACTTATCATAAAGTTCTGCTCTTCTTTTGTGACCTTGCTGCCACCTTTTTCCCAGCCTAACCCATTCTGACTTGACCTTCTCCGAGGCTGAAAGGTCAAGGTCAAAAGTAAATTCATGTTATTTAATGATTTGTTTTTAAGAAATACCAGAATGAAATATTAACCAACAGATTTTCTTAATCACTCTAGAAATGCAATGACCTCATTGATTATTCATTCCATCATAAGAAAACGATGTAGTCTCATGAATATTCATCATTCATCATGTGAACTATAGCCATTACTTTGAAACTCAGACAAAATACATGATCTTGGACGCTCTTTGAGTTTTACATATGATCTACATTTGAAAATGAACAAATGTAGCTGTCAGCTACCCACCCTGGACGATGTTGATGACGGTGCTTGTGATGTGGATGCTAATGATGACGTGTCTGAGCCATCCTCGTAACTGTCCGAGTCTTGAGAACACTCTCGTTTGAGAGTCTTCTTCTTGCGAGGCCGACCCTTCAGGTTAGGAGCTACCAAACAGAGAAGTCAAGTTACATTTGATGAACAACATGAACTTCATAGGCCAAGGGCATCAAATGAACTCAATTTCCAGGTGTCATACTGAAGTAATACAAGGATATGAGCTCTGGTGCCATAAACATGAATGTTAATGACCATCGTAACAGTAGTCAGTGTATTGATCATTCGGCCTTCATATCTATAGGCAACAAATTCTATCACTGTTAAATTTGTGTGTGTCAGACTCACAGGGGGACTGTGGTCACTACAACCTTGGGCTGTCTTTTCATACCTCACGTTGACGAGCAAACAGTTTGCTTTTAACTGACTTCTAATTAAATCAAGGGCTCACTTTGATGAGACTGCTTTGAATGTTGACCTATGCCGAACTAGCATTTAGGAGAGTAAGTGTTATTGGTTGTTGATGACAAGGAGGAGAAATTCTGTGGTGATACTGAAGTTGTGATGAGTGAGATGGAGCTTACAACGTCACTTCTGAAATGAAGATGCTGTAATATATTGTAATAGAATGGAGAGGATGCCGACCTATGAATTACCCACCTGGATGATCTCAGCAGACAATGGAGGATGTCGACCTATGAACGAACCACATAGATGATCTCAGCAGACAATGGAGGATGTCGACCTATGAACTACCCACTTAGATGATCACAGCAGACAATGGAGGATGTCGACCTATGAATTACCCACCTAGATGATCTCAGCAGACAATGGATGATGTCGACCTATGAATTACCCACCTAGATGATCTCAGCAGACAATGGAGGATGTCGACCTATGAATTACCCACCTAGATGATCTCAGCAGACAATGGAGGATGTCGACCTATGAACTACCCACCTAGATGATCTCAGCAGACAATGGAGGATGTCGACCTATAAACTACCCACCTAGATGATCTCAGCAGACAATGGAGGATGTCGACCTTGAACTACCCACATAGATGATCACAGCAGACAATGGAGGATGTTGACCTTGAACTACCCACCTAGATGATCTCAGCAGACAATGGAGGATGCCGACCTATGAACGAACCACATAGATGATCACAGCAGACAATGGAGGATGTCGACCTATGAACGAACCACATAGATGATCTCAGCAGACAATGGAGGATGCCGACCTATGAACTACTCACCTAGTTGATCTCAGCAGACAATGGAGGATGCCGACCAATGAACTACTCACCTAGATTATCTCAGCAGACAATGGAGGATGCCGACCTATGAACTACTCACCTAGAGGATCACAGCAGACAATGGAGGATGTCGACCTATGAATTACCCACCTAGATGATCTCAGCAGACAATGGAGGATGCCGACCTATGAACTACTCACCTAGATGATCTCAGCAGACAATGGAGGATGCCGACCAATGAACTACTCACCTAGATTATCTCAGCAGACAATGGAGGATGCCGACCTATGAACTACTCACCTAGAGGATCACAGCAGACAATGGAGGATGTTGACCTATGAATTACCCACCTAGATGATCACAGCAGACAATGGAGGATGTCGACCTATGAAAGAACCACATAGATGATCTCAGCAGACAATGGAGGATGTCGACCTATGAATTACCTACCTAGATGATCTCAGCAGACAATGGAGGATGTAAACCTTTGAACTAACCACATAGATGATCTCAGCAGACAATGGAGGATGTCGACCTATGAATTACCCACCTAGATGATCCCAGCAGACAATGGAGGATGTCAACCTATGAACTACCCACCTAGATGATCTCAGCAGACAATGGAGGATGTCGACCTATGAACGAACCACATAGATGATCTCAGCAGACAATGGAGGATGTCGACTTATGAACTACCCCTTAGATGATCTCAGCAGACAATGGAGGATGTCAACCTATGAACTACCCACCTAGATGATCTCAGCAGACAATGGAGGATGTCGACCTATGAACTACCCACATAGATGATCTCAGCAGACAATGGAGGATGTTGACCTTGAACTACTCACCTAGATGATCTCAGCAGACAATGGAGGATGTCGACCTATGAACTACTCACCTAGATGATCTCAGCAGACAATGGAGGATGTTGACCTTGAACTACTCACCTAGATGATCACAGCAGACAATGGAGGATGTCGACCTATGAACTACCTACCTAAATGATCTCAGCAGACAATGGAGGATGTGGACCTATGAATTACCCACCTAGATGATCACAGCAGACAATGGAGGATGTCAACCTATGAATTACCCACCTAGATGATCTCAGCAGACAATGGAGGATGTCAACCTATAAACTACTCACATAGATGATCACAGTAGACAATGGAGGATGTCGACCTATGAATTACCCACCTAGATGATCTCAGAAGACAATGGAGGATGTCGACCTATGAATTACCTACCTAGATGATCACAGCAGACAATGGAGGATGTCGACCTATGAATTACCCACCTAGATGATCTCAGCAGACAATGGAGGATGTCGACCTTGAACTACCCACCTAGATGATCTCAGCAGACAATGGAGGATGTCGACCTATGAATTACCCACCTAGATGATCACAGCAGACAATGGAGGATGTCGACCTGGAACTACCCACATAGATGATCACAGCAGACAATGGAGGATGTCAACCTTTGAACTAACCACATGGATGATCTCAGCAGACAATGAGGGCTGTCGACCTATGAATTACCCACTTAGATGATCTCAGCAGACAATGGAGGATGTCAACTTATAAACTACCCACCTAGATGATCTCAGCAGACAATGGAGGATGTCGACCTATGAATTACCCACCTAGATGATCACAGCAGACAATGAGGGATGTCGACCTATGAACTACTCACATAGATGATCACAGCAGACAATGAGGGATGTCGACCTATGAATTACTCACATAGATGATCACAGCAGACAATGAGGGATGCCGACCTATGAACTACTCACATAGATGATCACAGCAGACAATGAGGGATGTCGACCTATGAATTACCCACCTAGATGATCACAGCAGACAATGAGGGATGTCGACCTATGAACTACTCACATAGATGATCACAGCAGACAATGGAGGATGTCGACCTATGAACTACTCACATAGATGATCACAGCAGACAATGGAGGATGTCGACCTTGAACTACCCACATAGATGATCACAGCAGACAATGGAGGATGTCGACCTATGAATTACCCACCTAGATGATCACAGCAGACAATGGAGGATGTCGACCTATGAACTACTCACATAGATGATCACAGCAGACAATGGAGGATGTCGACCTTGAACTACCCACATAGATGATCACAGCAGACAATGGAGGATGTCGACCTATGAATTACCCACCTAGATGATCACAGCAGACAATGGAGGATGTCGACCTATGAATTACCCACCTAGATGATCACAGCGTAACTCAAAGTCCTCCAACTCAGGATGGTAGAAAGTTTCCCTGCAGAACATTATGCGACAGTTCCTGGACCTCACTGAGAATCCACCGATGGCGCTGACGATGGCATTCCGCAGCCATTTGTCCATCATGTTCTCCAAGCGCTTGAGGACGGTGCGGTATCGGCAGTACTGGGGATAGCTCATGATGACCACCTGCTGGACACTGTCCGGTACACCCACGTCACCTGGGATCAGATTATGACATTTGGAATGACTTCCTTTTAAAAGATAACACACAACACAAGTATTTATTGCAACATGAAACTTGCATCAGTTTCTTAATTTTAATCTGAAAGTCTTCAGTTTGACTGGGTGCAGCATGTATGGTGTTAGCTTTTCAGGGAAGATCTTCCATCTTTAAAATAACTTAATCAAGTTGGAGCAGTTAACATAAAATTGTTATACATTAGTATTACATGTATTGATGAGAAAGGATGCTAACAACCCCATCAACAGTATTCCTTAAATTTGAACTTTGTGACAACAATGCAGGATTAGATGCCATGAACTTAATGCAACGGTGTAACAAACAGCATATTCTGGACCAGTGAATCTTGTAACATAACTACATTTTAGGAGAAAATTAAACCTGTCCTGGCAGATTTATACATAAGAGGTTATATTGTCAGCACAAACAAACAAACACACACTTTTACTTCCCTGATCCAAGTATTAGAAAAAGGTTGGCTTTTCAAAGTAAACTGTTATCTGAAGAAGATAATCTGGTCAATTCAACCTCATTTTCTTAAACCATTTATCTTTGTCTGAAACCGTCTTTGATCAAATTTGATCTTAGAAAAAATCAATACCATTTTCATGACTTCCGTTGCTTTCCTAATCTGAACGTAAGTACTTACGTACACAGCTAATAACTGTTATATATTATCACTTTGTCTCCAAACTGTCACAACAAAATTTCATTAACCTTATTCTAAATCTCAAATATCTAGATAAGAAGTTATTGAAAGAAAAATATTCTTCAATTTTCCTAACCCTGACATTCATGAGATACTATGTTCCTACGCCCTACCAATGAGTTCTTTCTCCTTTTTGACGTCATTAAACTGTAATCCACAGTTATTGCTCCGGAAGGCCTGGACCAGTTCATCATTGTGGGTCAAATCTGTCTGACCATCGTCCTCACAGAACGCCTTAAGACCGTCTGACCAGGGAACATCCTCCGCTATCAATGTCACCAGATCATCCAGACGAAGAATTAATTTTTCAGAAAGAGCAAGGATTTCATGCTGGAAATAAAAAAGAAAGAAATCTTGCTCATTAAGAAGTCATACTTTTATAATCTGCATGCTGCTGCAATGCAATGCAATGTAGGGAAGCCTCTACTGCTCCTGGTCTCCTCCAGGCTCACTTAGGGCCTGACTCCGTCTACCCTGAATGATCCGTATCTACAGAAGCAGCCTCATCTACCTGATAATTCGCAGCTGCACTGGCCTTCAAGTCAAACTGCGAGTCCTGTATCTACCTCAGACTGAAAAAACATGACACTTGCAGCTTGTACCGACCTGCTTCAACCAGTGGAAATTTCTTTTCTTGTGAAAGCCCAGTAAACCATGGAAACATTTCTATAGAACATACATTTCAATTTGACTTAAAATTCCCTTCAGATGAAGAAAATATCACCATTTACTGTATCATGTAAGTTGTCATTTAAATACTTACTGTAGTTGGCAGATCAGAAACGGTAACATTTCAACTCTTATGTTTAGCATATATATATAAACCATTTCTTTAAAAGGAAAGAAAAAAATGATTGAAACCACATTATGTTCTGTATGATTTCTTTTCCAGAAGAAACATAACAATTTACCTATAAATTATTTTGATATTATGTGCTGTTATTTTCTGCAAACGGGAACACAGGGAGTATGACTACTTATCAATAACTTGATACAACACATTGCTGTGATGTGTTCTTTGTATAGTAGTCAATTGTGACAAAAGGTTTTCTCTTATGATAGTGTAAGCAAAACAGTCAACACTGTTTTAATAAAACTGCTTTTGACTGATAACACTACATAAAGTATGTACTGAAAAAAAACACCTTGAATAATTCATCCACAAAAAAAGAGATTTTTCTAATGCAGTGCAAACTCCAATGTGATATATGACAACTATTGCAATTGATGTGACAGCAGATTTTGAAACATTTCATGTCCTGCAAAAAAATCTGTTATTTAACTCCATTAACTTAATTTAAATTCAAAACCTTGACGATGGCTTCAGCTGCAACCTACATCCCTGGCTAAGATTCAGACTTGAAACTCTAATTTACTTAAATAAGAAACAGGTTGCTTATGAAATCGGAAGTTTCAACCAAATATGTTGTCATTCCAACACTCTGCATCAGCTGTCCAGTTGTTGTATTATGTGAAAACATGGTGATGTATTCACATTCCAAGCAGATATTAATTCATCTGTATGGGAAAATATATTAATAGTCTCAGATGGATCGCTTCATATCATATTCATATTTAAATATCACATCTATCTAAGCAGGATTATCCGAAAAAGACACACTTAATTATGAATCAACGATTGATTTATTAAAATATAAAGCATCGTCTTTCTCCTAGATAACATTTGTGAGGCGAAAACTAAACATAGATCAATTCTTGTCTCCTCAACATCAAATGCCATTAGCAGAACCAACATTTTGTAGTCGTTCGTCAGCATTTTTGATAACCATAAATGGTGAAGCCGATCCGTCCAAAAATCCATAGCTGCATTATAAAGAGGAATAATTGAGAATGTAATAGATTGCACAGCTGGAGTTGTCTATGATCAATACTGGCATGTTGTTATAGGACAAATATCTCATACATGTCAAATTTATCTCGTCAATGTCATGTCTATTGCATTATGCCAGAATTTGTCAACCCAAAACAATTATCTTCTACAGTCTTCAAAATATGCTTAAATTTTATTTAGTAAAACATCTTTGTCAATCACCCAACAATTACAAGTGGATGCTCAGATAACAGCAGAAAAACTCTGAAGTAATCAATAGTCACAGAGTTACCTCCCTTTACCCAGAGCATCAAAGCAGAAATTGCACATGGCTAGATTATTGATTCATATTAAGCTGATTTGTTAGGAAATGAACATTATTTGTGGCAAAGAATAAAAAAAAAGACCAAAATGTACTATTCGCAATGAAACTGCTAAATATTTAGTGATTATTTTATTTTTTCAATGAAATGATGAAATAGGTGCTTCAAAGGAAATGATATATTATTGATGAATATTGCATTCAGAAGCTGACCTTGCAACATGCATAAATAAACATAAACAGGAAAATTGACATTTCTTTGTTGAGAGAGAGATGACTGACAACCAAAACATACAACTGATCAATTTCAGTACCTATGGGAACACTAGTGCCTGTCTAACAGCACAATAAATTACGTTGCAATCGATCAGCTGATTACATTCTTCAATGCAAATCAGGTCACATTCTTGTCATTTTTTCTGCAGCACTTTTTAATATTTTTATCATGTTGTTTTGAAAACTGACTTTTTGTATCACAAATTCTCACATATTTGAATTTGTCAATATTTATATTTTCTAATGTGATGTTAATATTTGACAGCAGCAGATGGTTCACAGACAGAATTACTGTTTTCACCAATTAATTTTTGCAAATGTTTTTCAGTAATTATAAGTGTTTAATGTTTATAAATGATGACTGATTCACATAAAATGTGCATCCCCTCAGATCCAGATTGTGGTATATTTTCTACACTGGCTACTGACTAAATGTCACCGAAACCTGAGATTCTGTTGTCAAAGTATATAAAAAAACAAATTTACACATGATGTTTCAACTATTTGAAACCAATATCCCGATAATTACATTACCAAGATACAAAAAATCTAATGCACTTGAATGTCAGATATTTTATCATTTCATGTAATAATTGTGTTTATCAAAGGGCCTCGCATATCCTGCTCTTACACAAACAGGAAAGCAAAGTGAATAATATTTCAGCATTAGCAATGGGCCAAGAATATGTAGCCGGGCTCATCTTGCCTGTAATCTACAACCATGTAAATATCACTCCTCGTTATAACGCGCTTCCTTATAACGCGCCACCCACTCTGTAACAGACCACTTGTGTTACATAACTTAATATGTAATAGGGGGGGGAGTTCATGTATCTTTATTTAGAATCATTCAGACGATGTGGTCCTAACTGTTTTCCACTTCGGCCTTACATCGAGGTCTGCTAATGATGCAAGCAGCAAATGATTTATGAAACATCGGTACATTTCGCTGTTTGGTAATTAAATACATTTGCACAATGCAATCTCAGTCATTGAATATGTATCTCACTGCATATCAAAATTTGGGGAAAACATTGGTTTTTGTTAGCACTGAAGATACTTCAATGAAAAGATAAGAAATGACCCTTATTTGAACAAGATGCATTTCAGTGGAACAAATTACAAATAGATTCAAGTGAGCCATTGTTGACCTGATGATCTATTTCCGTGCTGGGAATGATAGCTTGAGTGCAATTCACATGATGAAAGAAATCCTATCAAAGTTAAACTTTGGTATTGTTAAGCTCCATTATGTCAAGATTGACCAAGTTTAACTGAGATGCAAAGCTGTAAAAAAAATTTCCTTTGTTTTTATTTGGTTGACTTACTTGAAATGCTTTAAAAGCACCCATCTATGAAAGGCTTTTTTTAAGAAGGGTGAAAATAACATTTTTATCCTCACATTTAAACACTGTTAATGCTGATTTGTCTTTATTTCATCATAAACCTACAGCTATCTCCTCAGCATGAGATGGACAGGATGGTATAGCCACCAGTCTCATCATCATCACCATCACCATCATCATCTAGTGACATCTGCTACCTTCAGTGCATCCTATGCAAATCATTCAATTATTTTTATAATTCTATTAACAATATTACTTTGTTAAGTGTTAATTCCATCATATCTTCTGTGAACCGTTTCTCAAGGACAGAAGAATCTCACCTTCATTCACATCAAGTTGTTTAACTCATCTACAACCATCAACATTTTCAAAAACCCAACAATAAAGGCAATATTCACATACACAGTAATCCCATGAAGAATAGTAATCTTCTTAACACAAAAACAAACACTATAGTAAGTCAAAAGAATTTCTTGCACTTATAAATATACCTGTGTCAATTTCTTGCACTGAAATGTGATGATAACCTTTGTTTACTTCTTGCACTGAAATGTGATAACCTTTGTTTACTTCTTGCACTGAAATGTGATAACCTTTGTTTACTTCTTGCACTGAAATGTGATAACCTTTGTTTACTGCTTGCACTGAAATGTGATAACCTTTGTTTACTTCTTGCACTGAAATGTAATAGTTTGTTTATTTCTTGAACTGAAATGTGATAACCTTTGTTTACTGTTTGCACTGAAATGTGATAACCTTTGTTTACTGCTTGCACTGAAATGTGATAACCTTCGTTTATTTCTTGCACTGAAATTGATGCATCAGTTCCTTAACATAAAATATACCAACATCAATTTCATTATGGACCTACTTATGCCATAGAAATACGCAGGGAACATCTTGCACTGGAAAATACCTGTGTTCATTTATTTTCGATAAAACATGTATAACAGTTTCCTGCACTAAACTCTACTGCTGTCAGTTTCTCTAGTTTGTTGCACTAATGTACCGATGTTACATGTACTTATATTGATACCCAGGTTGGCACACTGTCGTGAGATCAAACACTGTCTGTGTGACCAGTACGTGCGCCAGGGGCGGCTACGAGCTAACAGACAAAATCCCACTTGACAGCTCACCTTCTCATGGTCATCTCAGTGGGCAGTTTGACCTTTGACCCCAGCTGGAAGTAACATGGTGGTCATTATAAAGCCATTCTCACTAGGCAACTTCTTGTGTTTAAATTTCTCAGTTTAAATCAACACAATAAACATTTAGTTTTATATTTGACTGTCACCTTCAGTGCCTCAGAACTGTAAATCAAGTTAATGTGCCGAACATCTCATGTTGCTGATTAAAGAACATCATAAAGCCAGGATCGTGTTACTGTGCGTCTACATAATCTGAAATGTACTTACTTTCAAAACTTAAACAAGTAAATCTGAAGGTACATTTGCAAATTTAATCTACTTTAATCAAAAATCATGTTCTGAAGTAGGCCATTAACAAGAACAAATATAAGACCATATTCTGGAAAATACAAAAATTACTATTA